AAAATTTTGTTTTTTTACCCACTGAACAGAAAAAAAGATATTTAGCAGAATGTTTCAAGCTTCTCCTATCCAATGAAATTCTTTACTTGAAAGAAACTAAACTATGTGTGCAAGGGGGGCTTTATTCTTATATATATATATATATTCTTACTATCAATAGACCATACTGTACCTACATAAAATGTTTGTAAGAATTCATGACCGCATCTTATCTGTACTTATGTACTTATCCTGCATAGTTTGGATGCTTAGATAACTGTTACTATACTCAAGGCTATCCTGCCATCTAGTGTGTGTTCCTGGTATTTGTTATGCTCAAATATCGCGTTTGATGAAGTGACCTTGTGTCACAATCCTTATGTTGAGTCAACAACTTCTGCAGGATATGACAGCAACACGACCGCCTTCTCTTATTTGCAGAGCACATGGTTCCAGGAAGCCCCCACATGACGAGCCCTACACACCCCTACCTGCGTGTGTGGCATGTACACACCTGTGGGGCTGATCGAAGTGTGTTCGAGTGTTTTCGTCGGTACACCGGCTTCAGGTGTGTTTTTCGTCAGTATTAAGAATACTTCTTTCACAGGACGGTTTGTACCGAGGCTCTTCAACCAAGCACATTATTGGATATAGTCTGAAGTGTCCGCTGCCAGACAGTCAGTTATCCAGGAAAGGGGCGGTGAGTGTGAGAATACCTGCTCTGTGCGACCATGCAGAACATATGAGAGATTGCAGTAGCTGAGTTTAAAGTTACTAAGACATTCTGATCTTGGCATGTGAATGTTGGCACATGAGGAGGTTAAGATGGTCAGTGTTGGGCTCAAAGGGACTCTTGACCCCTCAGGGGGGATTGCCTCTAAATCTGATTTAATGATTAAGGCTATAAATAGAGAGCTCACATGTCAGATATAAATAATACACTGTTCTTGCTTAGGCACTAAACTTATGTTCTGTGAGGACTTTTTTTTTTCATTTCTCTTTACATTTTTGTGATACTGTATGCCACTATGCATTTTGGATGTGTGGGACCAGGACAATACTTCTTCTTCTTCTTCTTCTTCTTCTTCTTCTTCTTCTATATATGCCATGGTATTTGCACTAGTCTTATATTAGGAGCAAGTCTAGCCTTCAACCATTATTACACTGTTGTGAATAAAACACATTATTGGAGTACGTTTGTCAAGAAAATACTTTAAAATAGTCATTCTACCTAAAACTCACATTTAGTTCAACATTTTATTTGCCATTTAATTGTGAAATTTACTAGTAATGTCTAAGTGTTTTTTTTTTGGTACTGTAAACAGGTTGATACTTTTTCTTAATATGTTATTGATATATTATGGATATAAACATATCAACTTCTAGCAACCACAAGGTCTAGAGCAGGCAGCGTTTTTGCACGGAGGCACCTCATGAAACTGATTTTGGACAGGCTTCTGAGGCAGCATAACGGTTCAATGATCTACAACAAAATATAAATGTTTTTTTTGTGATAACTAAACAAATATTTAATTATTATAAATAATGCTGATTTCTCACTAGAAATAACATTAAAAGTGCAAAAATGTTGTCATTTACACACAAACTGACCACAAAATGCAACTTTCAGATGCCATCTTTTTTTTAGTTCAACCATCACGGATGGAATGCACAGGATTGTGGGATATCAAAGGCAGCGAAGGATACATAAATGCTGCCTTCAAAAATCGATCAGATGAAGATATCTCAGCTAACACTAGATTCAGATGTGCCTTGATGCCTTCCTACCTTAGAAAGCATCCTCCGAAGGCAGCATTTTTCAGTTTTCAGATAAAGCCTAATTATCCTGAAGACATTAATGATTAGCATGCTCAGGTGTGTTTGATTAGGGTTAGAGCTAAACTCTGTAGGAAAGTGGTTCTCGTGGGCCAGATTTGAGGATCCCTAGAGACACTTCTAGACCTGTTTTATGTGTGGTTATAAAAGACGCAATCTAAAGACGTCAATCCGTCACATGTTTACATAGAAAAACAATGGCAATTCTTTCTCTGTGAATGTTCTGTGTTTTGATATGTTGTTCTTCTTGTTTGCTGCCTTATGAAGTATTCTGTTGATCCTGTCAATTCTACATGTGTATACTATGGTAAATCCGAGTTAATCTGGGTGAATCTGAGTAAAATCTTTTGTCCTGCATTTTACAGGAAGTGATGCAATATTGAAGTTAACTATGGCTCCACATCCTGTCACTCAAGCCATCACTGATCTGTCAGCAGGAGCATGTGGTAACAGCCTTGTATTATTCATTTCCTGTGTCTACATTAACAACTGTAATATATGGGGGGCTTACATACGATGCACTGTGTTTTCCATCTGCCTGATTTGCATACATTTTGCATTATGATGGGAATTTTGTTACAGTAAGAAACAAGAAAGATCAGTTATTTAAAAACATACAGGCATGTTCTGCACTGTTTCCTCTCTTCTGTCTTTTTAAGGTGGGATTGCATGTGTGTTAAGCGGGCAGCCCTTTGATACAGCCAAGGTGAAGATGCAGACTTTCCCCGGCTTGTACAGAGGCTTTGTCCACTGCTTCGTCTCAGTCTATAAACAGGTTGGACTCCGAGGGCTCTATCAGGGCACCACGCCTGCCCTCATAGCCAACATTGCTGAAAACGCTGTGCTCTTCATGAGCTACGGCTTCTGCCAGAATGTTGTCCGCTTTGTTTCAGGACTGGACCGATGCACAGAACTCAGGTGAGGTACCATTACAGTAAAGTGCCACAAATAAGAATAAGACATACCATTCTACCTAGGTGTGACTGACTCTTAACTTTTATAAAGAATATCTCTTTGGATTTGAGACTTTAGTCTTTGCAACTTTACAGATCTTCTTTATGCACCAAGAGCTTGTAACACTCCAAAGAGAAAGGAAAAATTGAAATCGCATCATATGACCTCTTTAAACTAAGCACTAAAACTATGAAAATCTATCATAAAAATGAATTATTAGTTGTTATAATTATCATTATAACAACTAATGAATTATAACAAATATGAACATCTAAACAAATAAACAACCTATTTCTATATTTTTTTTTGCGTCAAAAAGATTTATGTAATAATTTTTGTGACAAATTTGTGGTAGAAATTCCACCACACCAAACTTTTGCCCCAGTAAAGTTTTTTTTAATTTATTTTATTTTTTTACTTCTTTACCAAGAAGACAGCGTCATAAGTGTAGAGCAGTGAGTCTAAGCCTCTGTGACTCAAAGGCCCCCAAAATAAAAATAAAATGTAAATATTAAAAATGTTATGTTGCCTTTAAAATAACAAATAAATAATATATAAATTAAATAACTGTTATACTGTATATACACTATATGGACAAAATAATTGGGACACACCTCTTAATTAGCCTACTGAATTAAAGTGTTTCAGTCAGACACATTGCCACTGGTGTGCACCTAGATACAGATACAGTGAAAAAATATTCTGAAGAGTATTGTGTTTGGATGCCACTTTTTCAATAAATCAGTTCTTAAAATTTCATCCCACAGTCAACTGTAAATTATATTATTCTAAAGTGGAAGTGTATAGGAACAGCAGCAACTTAGCCACGAAGCGG